CTTGGTAGGCAAACCAGGGCAGGATTTATACAGTTAATGGTGGGGTCCAGGGGAGTGTTGCCAAACAGAGAGACTTAGGCGTGCAGGTGCACAGTTCCTTCAAAGTGGAGTCATAGACATGGCGATGAAGAAGGCGTTCATTGGTCAGTGCATTGAGTAAAGGAGTTGAGACGTCATGTTGCAGCTGTACAGGACATTGGTTAGGCCACTATTGGAATACTGCTTTCAATTCTGGTCTCCCTGCTGTAGGAAAGATTTTGTTGAACTTAAAAGGGTTCAGAAAAGACTTACAAGGATGTTGCCAGGGTTAAAGGGGTTTGAGCTATAGGGAAAGATCGAATAGGCTGAGGCTATTTTCCCTGGACCAGAGGTGGAGGGGTGACCTTATACAAAGTTCATAAAATCATGAGGGGTATGGATAGGGTGAATAGCCAAGGTCTTTTCCCCAGGGGAGGGGAATCCAAAACTAGAAGGCATAGGTTCAAGGTGAGAGGGGAAAGATTTAAAAGGGACCTGAGGAGCAACGTTTTCATGCAGAGCGTGGTGCGTATATGGAATGAGCTGCCAGAGGTGGTGGTGGAGGCTGGTACAATTACAACATTTAAAAGGCAGCGGGATGGATATATGAACAGGAAGGATTTAGAGGGATATGGGCCAAATACTGGCAAATGGGACTAGATCAATTTAGGATATCTGGTCGGCATGGATGAGTTGGGCCAAATGGTCTACTTCCTTGTTATATGATTCTATGTCTCCAAGTTGATTAAACATTATTTGTCCTTTAGAAATTCCCTGTGCTGTGCATTCCTAATCAACCCATTTTTTTCTTTAACGTGGTTTAGTAATTCTACCATGAATAATTATTTCAAAAAGTTTCCCTACCACCGAAGTCAAGCCAATTGGACCATAATGGCTTGGATTATCCTCATAACCTTCCTTGAACAAGACCATAATGTTTGCAATTCTATGACAATTTTTAATGTATATCGAAACACAAATTAAAGATCAAGGTAAGGAACTATTTATGAACATACAAATATGGAGCAGGAGTAGGCCATTTGGCCCATTGAGTCTACTCCACCACTTAAGATCATGACTGATCAGATTGTAACCTCAAATCCTCATTCCCAACTACCCCGATAACCTTTCACCCTCTTGTTTACTAAGAATCTATCCACTTCGACTTCAAAAATATTGAAAGCTCTGCCTCCAATGCCTTTTCAGGAGGACAGCTCCAAAGACCCATGACCCAAATAAAAAATTCTCAACTGTTTTAAATGAGCGAACTCTGAATTTTAAACAGTGACCCCTACTTCTAGGTTCTCCCATGAGAGGAAATATTCTCTCTACATCGATCCTGTCAACACCCCTCATTATATTAAATGCTTCAATTAAGTCACTTTTTAAAAATTCATTCATGGGATAAGGGCGTCGCTGGCTAAGCCAGTATTTATTGCTTATCCCTAATTGCCCTAAGAGTCAACTACATTGCTGTGACCAGGTAAGGATGGCAGTTTCCTTCCCTAAAATACATTAGTGAACCAGATGACCTTTTCCCGACAATCAATAACGGATTCATGGTCATCATTAAACTCTTTAGTTCCCAATATTCGTTGAATTCGAATTCTACCATCTGCCATGGCGGGATTTGAACCCAGGTCACCAGAACGTTACCTGGGTCTCTGGATTAATAATCCAGCGACAGTACCACTAGGTCATTGTCACTCCATGTTTTTTCTTACTTTTCTAAACTCCAGTGGCTACAAGCCTTGCCTGTCCAAGCCGTCTAACCCTAGGATGACTCACCTATTCCATAGAGATATAGAAAACAGGAGCAGGAGTAGGTCATTCAGCCTTTCAAACCTGCTCCACCATTCAAATAATTATGGCCGATCATCCAACTCCAACTTCCTCCTCATAACCTTACATACCTTTAGCCCAAACAACTATATGTAACTCCTTCCTGAAAAGATTCAATGTTTTGGCTTCAACTGATTTCTGTAGCAGAGAATTCTACAGGCTCACCACTGTCAGGGTGAAGAAATTTCTCCTCATCCCAGTCCTAAATGGCCTGTGTCCTTTGACTGTGACCCCTGGCTCTGGACTCCCCGTTAATAAGATTGTCTCATTCTGCCCTGATTAGTCTCCAGATACTGAATCCAATGCGTACAGTTCTCTTAAGCCTTATTTCCTTCCAAAAAAATTATAAAAAATAACATTTTAAACTTTCAAGATCTCAGCAATAAACTACATTAATAGGACTTTTAACATTGTACAGCACTCGACAGGAGTGTTTAACAAACAAAACTTCTACTCAGTACAATTTGAAATAACTAGATGAAGTAAGAATTTACTTTATCATTGACCCATCTTATGAGCTGAAGTTCAGTCAGTTCCAACACAGATAGTTTATCAAAATTGGACACAAAAGGTAAATGCTAAAGGCAGATGAAGCTGGAAATCCTAAACTTGATGAAAAATGGACCATCTGTTTATTACAAGCAATGAAGGTTACTGAATCCTAAAATAAAAAAAACCTTGATATAAATCAGGTATCCTGAAATCAGCTCGTTAATGTAAATTCATTGCTGCAATGTTGAAACAAATTGCAAGCAATTCACTGGACATTTACAAAAGCATGTTTTTTTTACTTGTATTACAATGAATGTCAAGGGTTTGGTATTAATATTTGCATAACAGAATTTCAATCCTTTTCTGCTTAATATTGAACAGGTAATCGACGTCCTTCCTTCTCTAGTTCACACCTTTTAAATAAGCATGAGATGCTTAGTCAAATATACAGGTGAGTGGCTTTCAGTTTCTGTTTAGAACTTTTGAGGCCTCCAAAGAACTAATAAAAACCAGGCTCCTTTATAAGCTAGGTTTGTTACAGCAAAGTTTCAAGTCCCAGATAAAACCTTGATACATCAGTTCTTGAGTTGAAACTGTGAACAATTCTGAGATAATGCCAACCAGCTAACATGTAGATAGTTCGCGGCTTCCAAAAGAAGAAATAAAAGACAAAGCTTAAAACTTGAAGAATTCATCAACATGCATCGTTAGCACGTTTAATGTAGTAAAAAGTCCAAAGGTGTTCACAGGAGATTTTTAATCAAACAAAACTTATACACAGCATGAATCAAAATATAACAGTCTAAGAAAGCACTTGGGATTTTGCTGGACACTACTGGCCTCATGTACCATTGTTAGTGGGTCCCTTTACCTTTGGTTACAGGGATAATAAATCACCCAAACTAAACAGGAATTGGCCACTCAGGATCGTAAGCCTGCCCCCTGCCACTCCCCAAAATCACTGTTTATGTTTTATCTTGGTTCCACCTTTCCCTCTATATCCATATTCTGTAATCTCTTTGGTACCCAAAGTATTTCAATTTCTTAATAACTGAGCAATCACTGCTCTTGGGGTAACAAATTTCAAAGATTCATAAGCTTTTAAAGGAATTCTTCATCATTTTAGTGTAAAATGGTCAATTCTTATTCTGAGACTGTGACTCACAGTTCTAAACTCTACAGCTAAAGCGAAGTTTTATTCTCATTCATTCCTGCAACATGGACTTTGCTGGCAATGCCCGATATGCTAACCCTCCCAATTTAACCTTGAACTGAGTGGCTTGCTCCATCATTTCAGGGGTCGTTAAGAGTCAGTCAGCAGCAATAAAATATAAAAAAAGAGTGGAAAAGGTTTCCCACTTAAAATCAGCATATGAATCAAAAAGACCAACTGTTGAAATGCAACTAAAGAGCCAGACTTTCTCAGAATTTTATAAATGCTTCTGAACTGATATACATTACTGAAGATGTGTTTGTGGCAAAGAGGATCTTACTCAATGTTGTTGTTCCATCATGTGAGACAAGCTGACACTCCAGTCACATCCCTGCAATTTTCTGAGCTATGTGCTTGGCTACTTTTTTCCCCAAGATCAGCAGTCAATTTGGATCTTATCACATTCATTCAAGAAATGGGTCTTGTCATGGGCTAGACCAAAGCTTCCTAAAAGTGGGTTATATCTTCCAGTGGGGATACAAGACAAAATTCAGGGTCACAAGTTTTGAGCAGCACTGGCTAAAGTGGAGCTTAGGGCCGATAGCTGGAAGGCCCCTTTAAATCCTCACTTTTTTTAAATGGAGGACACTGCCTTACTGACCAATTTTTGCATAAACCCCAATCCCCAATCTTTCCCATGTCCCCAATCCCCACTGCTCTATCCCCACGACCCCACTCACTCTGGAATCAGTGCAATTTATCCTCAAAATAAGGTCACAGAAAGTGGAAAGTTAGGGAAGCACTGGGCAAGGGGAAAAAAAATTGAAGCTAAAGTCCTGCTAGCTCATTGTCATTCTAGTGAAAATAAGCAACTGCAAAAGGTAGCCTGAGAAGCCTTGTTACATTGAAGCTTGAGAACACAAGGGAACCAAAGCTCAGTGACCCAGAGACTGAAACTGACCTATCTAATGCTGATTCTAATCTTAACATTTAAGATTGAAATGCTCCAATTTCCAGGTACTATATAAATCTAAATACAATTACACAGCAGGCAGTTTTCGGTTTGCTACTTTGCCAAATCAGATAAAGTTACACAATCCTTTAGCAACTTTTATTAAACCTTTTTTTAACTCCATGATTGTGTTCTGTGGATGTGTGTCAAAATGTTAACAAATCTGCCAGTAATTAATAGACGGAAAAACATTTCAATCACAAGCCGCCAAGAATCTGGTGGGAGTGACAAATTTGGGCCATGGAAGTATCAGCCAGTACTCAGCACCAGGCTGCATCCAAGTGCCAATCAACGCTTAACAGATTCACTTCAGTAATAATGTGGAAATCTAACATTCACTAGTATTAAACTGTATTGGTATGGTGATACTACTTTAAGCGTTTAGAAATTAAGAAATGTGGATTGTCAAATAAAATTAGATTTCAAAGCAATTAAACACAATTTCACACAACACAAGCATAACAATAGTAAACGCTAACGTACCTTATCCATGTGGAATATAAGATCCAGCTCACAGACATTCTCAAAACACTTGTCCAATGTTTCCACAAATACCTGAAGAAACAAACAAGCAGCAGCTGTTATTCAGTCTGGTAGTTCAATATGTTCTAACCAACACGTTCAGAGATGATGAACTCAGGCTTCCTGGCTTAGAGGTAGGGACATTACCACTGCACCACAAGACTCCTGTCAGGGCAATACACAGGCCAGTAACTGCTTGCCCTAAAACATAACTCCTCAGTTGTTAACAAATGGGGAGAGGCAATGACCTGGTGGTATTATCACTGGATTGTTAAATCTGGCAGGTTGACTCTGACTGGACGTGGCACTACCCTGAGAAATGAATCAGGGAATGGCTGACATTATTTTATTGAATTGAAACAGGTGCAGTGCATGCTTACATTCTTTTTTATTATTCATTTGTGGGATGTGGGTGTCGCTGGCTGGCCAGTATTTCTTGCCCATCCCTAGGTGCCCTTGAGAAGTTGGTGGTGAGCTGCCTTCTTGAACCGCTGCAGTCCTCCTGCTGTGAGTTGACCCACAATGCTATTAGGGAGGGAATTCCAGGATTTTGACCCAGCGACCGTGAAGGAACAGCGATATATTTCCAAGTCAGGATGGTGAGTGACTTGGAGGGGAACTTGGATATGGTGTTCCCCTATATCTGCTGCCTTTGTCCTTCTAGATGGAAGTGGTCGTGGGTTTGGAAGGTGCTGACTGAGGATCTTTGGTGAATTTCTGCAATGCATCTTGTAGATAGTACACACTGCTGCTACTGAGCGTCGGTGGTGGAGGGAGTGAATGCTTGTGGATGTGGTACCAATCAAGCGGGCTGCTTTGTCCTGGATGGCATGAAGGTTCCTGAGTGTTATTGGGGCTGCATTCATCCAGGCAACTGGGGAGTATTCCATCACACTCCTTGTGCCTTGTAGATGGTTGACAGGCTTTGGGGAGTCAGGAGGTTAGTTACTTGCTGCAGTATTCCTAGCTTCTGGCCTGCCCTTGTAGCCACTCTGTTAATGTGGTGAGTCCAGTTGAGTTTCTGGTCAATGGTAACCCCTAGGATGTTGATAATGAGGGTTTCAGCGATGGTAACACCATTGAATGTCAAGGGGCGGTGGTTGGATTGTCTCTTATTTGTGACGGTCATAGCCTGGCATTTGTGTGATGCAAATGTCACTTGCCACTTGTCAGCCTGAGCCTGGGCATTGTCCAGATCTTGCTGCATGTGAATATGGACTGCTTCAGTATCTGAGGAGTCACGAATGGTGCTGAACATTATGCAATCATCAGCAAACATCTCCACTTCTGACCTTATGATGGAGGGAAGGTCACTGATGAAGCAGCTGAAGATGGTTGTGCCTCGGACGCTACCCTGAGGTAGTCGAGCAGAGATGTCCTGGAGCTGAGGTGACTGACCACCAACAACCACGACCACCTTCCTATTTGTCAGGTATGACTCCAACCACCAGAGAGTTTGCCCCCGATACCCATTAATTCCAGTTTTGCTAGGGCTCCTTGATGCTATACTCGGTTGAATACAGCCTTGATATCAAGGGCTGTCAACTCTCACCTCACGTCTGGAATTCAGCTCTTTTGTCCGTGTTTGAACCAAGGCTGTAATGAGATCAGGAGCTGAGTGGCCCTGGCGGAACCCAAACTGGGCATCACTGAGCAGGTTATTTCTGAGCAGGCGCTTCTTGATTGCACTGTTGATGGCACGTTCCATCACTTTACTGATGATCGAGAGTAGACTGATGGGGTGGTAATTAGCCGGGTTGCATTTGTCCTGCTTTTTGTGTACAGGACATACTTGGGCAATTTTCCACATTGTCGGGTAGATACCAGTGTTATAATTGTGCTGGAACAGCTTGGCTAGGGGATCGGCAAGTTTTGGAGCACAAGTCTTCAGTACTATTGCCGGAATGTTGTCAGATATGGTAGCCTTTGCATTATCCAATGTCTCCAACCATTTCTTGTTATCACGTGGAGTGAACTGAATTGGCTGAAGACTGGTGTCTGTAATATTGGGGACCACTGGAGGAGGCCGAGATGCATCATCCACTCAGCATTTCTGGCTGAAGATTGCTGAGAAAGCTTCAGACTTATCTTTTGCACTGATGTGCTGGGCTCTTCCATCATTGAGGATGGGGATATTTGTGGATCCTCCTCCTCTGATGAGTTGTTTAATTGTCCACCACCATTCACGACTAGTAGTGAAAGGACTGCATGGCTTAGACCTGATCCACTGGTCGTGGGATTTTTTAGCTCTGTCCATCACTTGCTGCTTTTGCGGCTTGGTGTGCAAGTAGTCCTCTTTGGTGGCTTCTCCAGGTTGATACCTCATCTTCAGGTATGCCTGGTGCTGTTCCTGGCATGCCCTTCTGCACACTCCATTGAACCAGAGTTGATCCCCTGGCTTGACGGTAATGGTTGAGTGGGGGATATGCTGAGCCATGAGGTTACAGATTGTGCTGGAGTAAAATTCCACTGGTGATGGTCCACAACACCTCATGGATGCCCAGTCTTGAGTTGCTAGATCTGTGCGAACTCTGTCCCATTTAGCACCGTTATAGTGCCACACAACATGATGGAGGTTGTTCTCAATGTGAAGGCGGGACTTTGTCTCCACAAGGACTGTGCAATGGTCACTCTTACCAATACTGTCATGGATAGATGCAACTGCAGCTGACAGATTAGTAAGGATGAGGTCAAGTATGTTTTTCCCTCTTGTTGATTCCCTCACCACCTGCCGCAGACCCAGTCTAGCAGCTATGTCCTTTAGGACCCGACCAGCTGCTGAGTCACTCTTGGTGGTGGACACTGAAATCCCCCACCCAGAGCATATTTTGTGCCCTTGCCATCCCCTCAGTGCTTCCTCTAAGTGTTATACAACATGGAGGAATACTGATTCATCAGCTGAGGGAGGAAAGTATGTGGTAATCAGCAGGAGGTTTCCTTGCCCATGTTTAACTTGAAGCCATGAGACTTCATGGGGTCCAGAGTCAATGTTGAGGGCTCCTAGAACAACACTGTCCTGACTGTATACCACTGTGCCACCCGCTCTGTTGGGTCTGTCCTGCTGGTGAGACAGGACATATCCAGGGATGGTGATGGTGGTGTCTGGGACATTGTTTGTAAGGTACGATTCTGTGAACATGACTATGTCAGGCTGTTGCTTGACTAGTCTGTGAGATAGCTCTCACAATTTTGGCACTAACCCCCAGATGTTCATGAGGACTTTGCAGGGTCAATAGGGCTGTTTCTACCGTTGTCTTTTCTGGTGCCTGGGTGGATGCCAGGTGATCCGTCCAGTTTCATTTCTTTGAGTCTTTGTAGCGATTGGTACATCTGAGTGGCTTGCTAGGCCATTTCAGAGGGCAGTTGAGAGTCAACCACATTGCTGTGGGTCTGGAGTCACATGTAGGTCAGACCAGGTGAGGGTGGCAGATTTCCTCCCCTGAAGGGCATTAGTGAACCAGATGGGTTTTTCCAACAATCGGCAATGATTTCATGATCATTTCAATGATCGGTAGATTCTTCATTGCAGACTTTTTTTTTGAATTCCAATTCCACCATCTGCCATGATGGATTCGAACCGGGTCCCCAGAACATCAGCTGGGTTTCTGGATTAATAGTATAGTGATAATACCACTAGGCCATCACCTACCTCTCTTAGTAGAATGATAGCACAGACTTCTGGATTACTAGTTTAGTGCACTATCCTGATATAAGCTACACATAAAACTTAAGACAAAATGTCTTTTTTTCAGCAATGCAGATTGCTTTGAGAGATTATAAAAGTTGAATCACTCGACTTACACTAGTTCACAGTCTCCATAAGCAGCTGTGTCTCATCTAAAAGAATAATATAGACAGATGGGGAACCTCTCTCTAGGCAACTAGTTAGTTAAAAGTTTAACTTAAAATCATGGATAAAGCATAAAAGGGGCCTATTGTCCATTCGGGCTGGAGCACCTATGGATTCTTTGGTGAGGTTATCCAATTAATCCCAATGCCAGTAAGCCCACTAATTTCACCCTTCTAAGTATTTACCCAATTCCCTTTCAAAAGTTATGATTGAATCTGTTCCCACGGGCAGCTCACTCCAGGTTACCATTCTCTCTGCAGAAAACAAATCCCCCCAACTAGTCTCACTCTGCCCTGTTTGGTGTGTTTTGTGGTCTCCAAATGGTTTGTCAGAGAGAACAGTTTCACCTTAGTTAGTCTAACAAAACACTTTATGATTTAGATTACCTCTATCTCTTTCTTTGCTATAAGAAGAACAATCCCAGCTTTTCTGGTGTCTGAACACAAGTGAAGTCCCATGTCCCAGAAACTATTTTGCTAAATCCCCTCTGCATGCTCTCGAAGGCCTGGACATTCTTCCTAAAGCGTTGTGCCCAGAATTGAATTAATATACCAGTTAGGATCAAAACAATGATTTGTAATAGTTTTTTATAACTTCCTTGTTTTTCTACTCTATACCTCTAATTATAAAACCAAGAGTCCAACACAACACTTGTAATAACTTTCTCGCCTTGTCTTGCACCTTTCTAAGCCCTTTTTGGACAGACACGGTCTCTTCATTTCTGCACCTATTTTAAAATTATGTAATTCAATTTATATTCCTCTTACCAAAATCCATCACTTCACAATTCTCTATGAAGTAACATCTTCCGGGTAACTGACCATTTCATTAATCTGTCCATGCCCTTTCCTCATCAGTGTTTATCACATCATCTACAATCTGAAATTATGCCCTGCAAAATGCAGGTCAATAATACATATCAAAAACAGCAGTGCTCCTAACACTGGCTTCTGAGGGAATGCCACGAAAAGTATCCCTCCAGTCTGAGGAAAACAGTCAGTCATTCATTCATTCTTGCAACTTGTGGGTCTACGCTGCCATTATCCATTTCATCCCATGTCCTTTTACTATCATGTCTATTACGTATACGGGGAGGAGATGGATACAATAATGAATTCAATTTTTAAAAATCTAAAATTAAGAGTCTAAGGATGACCATCAATCCACTGCCAAGTGTTGGAAA